GGGGTGCCGCGGGGAGAGGCGGCCGGGTGTGGATGGCGTCTGGGCTCTTCCACCTGCCTCTAGGAGAGGCGTTTCAAGATGGACTTCAGGGGGGAATGACACTGCTCTGATCCCCGCTGTGCGTAGTTTGCGCTGTAACAAATGTGTGGTGACCAGGACCACAAAGTGAATGACCAATGGTAGTCATTCTGTGAAACAGCCGTTAGTTCCTGACTCTCCCACATCAGATTTTGGGGTTTTTTTTTAAACTAAAATTTGGTATTGCCATTAATTAAGTGGTTACTGTTAGCCAACGAGAACAGTTCTGGGAACTTCTACAACAGCACAGGCATTGGTTCTGTATTCCTTCCAGGTATCCAGAAATGGTGCACGTGTCAGGGAGCGAGTGTAAACAAAATGGGATTAACTCATCTGATCTTCTTTTTGATACAGCATTTGGTTTACAATGGAAGGCCTTTCAGGTGATGCCCTCTGGATCTCTGTCCTTGTACTTCAGAACATACAACCCTTCATATCTGGCATTGTTTCTAATGGTGTCATAATTCAAATATCCTAGCCTACAAAAGCAAATTTACAGGAATAAAATATCACAAATCCTCTGTGTTTTCCCGTCTTTGTGGAAATGCAGGGTTTTTTCTTACGTTTATGAATTATATTTGCTTTAGTGAGATGTGGCAGCACAGGGTGCTCTGGTACAAACCGCATGTGAAATTGCTCTGGATTCATGCTGAAGGCTGCCCAGTTGTCTCAAGTGCAGGACGAGTTACTCAAGCTGGAGAACCAAAGAGAAGCAGTTGTGTTAACCTTGTTGCCTGCTTGCACGCACATAGCTACAGAAATTTGTGTGCCTTAACTGTTCAAGCTTCAGGGGCACCTAGGCTCTGGTGGGCCTTTGACTTTCTGATTTATATTAAAGCAGGAAAACAACTGTATGTTAGAAGAATGGCACTAAGATACGGCCCAGCCTGCTCTCTTTCATTCCCTTTATAGCTGCTGAGAGAGGAAAGGCAACTCTGAAAACTCTTGCCTACTACAACAAAGGTAGTAGAGAAGATTACAAACCAGCTTATGTCTCTTCATTTCTCTCCATGGCCACATAGGAAATCTCACAGTTGAACCCAGAATGATCAAATCCATCCCTGACCAAAAGAACTTACAGGCTCATTAGGTGCAGAGGCTTGGGAAGCTGAATAAAGGCAACTGAAGCTCTTCAGATCAGGACTGTTATTTATAGGGGACTTTCTTGTTGTTGTTGAAGACCTTTAAGCTCCAGTGAAGCTGTTGGTTGGCCATGTCAGCAGAGATGCCACTGCGTAGTTAGATACTACTACATATCCTGTCAGCTGTCATAATGCCTGAGAGCTAATTCTTCACATGGGTTTTTATCACCTCCTTTCTGGGACCAAAGCCTCCCCTTCCACTCAAAAGTGGCAATGTGAACATCAGTCTGCCATCCGCTTGTTCTGTGTTTAATAAGAGTTGTGGTGCTGACAAGACTAGTTTTCTGTATGAAGATTTTATCTAGCAATAGAAGGATGGGATTGCAGAAATTTGTTGTTTGTTTCAGTATCCACTTGCCATAAGTTTATCATCTTCACCGATAAGGCAGACCAGGGCCATGGCTTCAGAGAGGCTGTCCTGACAGTTGGGTCTCTCCCCACAGCTGACAGAGGTTGCCTGTGATTTTTATATTTACCAGGTTTATTCTCTTACTTGCTCTTTACACTGAAGACATTTTCAAAGCCATGGCACTCCTGATCTGAAGAGTTACTGATATTAAGACATGCAATGAAAAGCTTGTCTGGAATTGAGGTAAATTTGGGTCTGGAGATGAGGCTGTGATTCACAGATATTCCATATTTGTGTCTATAGGTTGTTTACGCAAAGACCATGGAATTGAAGCATTGTTAGAGGTCCTGAGTTTCACATGTGAGGGATTTTCATAAATTCTGTCGGGTCCTATGAACATCACATGGATCAAACCAAAGCACATGGTTAGTTACAGGAATGCAAGTATAATATTGCCTTTTTTGACATAAGTTTTTTTCCTTTTTCGGGCTGTTAAAAAGTTGTCTGTTTTAGAGGTAACAGTTAGTGACCGTAGAAACCCTGGGGCCGTCCCTGTGAGGAACTGAAAGCAAGAAACAAAAACAAAAAAAAAGTGAAGAGATCTTTTGCGAATCCTTTACACAGAAGAAATCTGCTACCCGTGAAAGCAGTTCTCAGCATGATTGTGCGTGTCTCTCCCTGTGTACACAAATGAGGCAGATCAAAGTTCAGACAGTACTAATCTCCTAATCATAGAAGCTTCTGATTAGCATTTTTAATCAGTCTGGTGATCACAGGGCAGCCTCAAAATTGTTCTTGAATACTAAACTTTCAGAACAGAATCCAAATCACTTTTATTTTGGTGTTTCCTGTGAAAATGTGTCAGGTAACTATTTGTGTAGGATGTCTCAAAGGGACGTGGTGCTGTAGAATTCAGCTCCACCTGGAGGGTCTGTCTGAGCACATTTAAGCTGTTCACATGGAGGTTGTTACTGGAATGATGTCCCAATGCTTTCTTCTTATTTGAGACATCCATGCTGTGTATGAGAGAGCAGTGATAAAAATGTCAGAGGCAAAAAAAGAAGCAAATGCTTTCTGCATAAAGTGGCATTAGAGAAATTTACATTCATTTTTTAAATCTTAAATTATTGCTATCTCTTACTGCAGCCAGAACAACTGTATATAAATGCAATGGAGTCTTTCCATTAATAGTCTCCAAAAAGAAGAAATAAGACACACATGGTTATCTGAGTGATGCCTTCACAGTGAATGGTTTGGAGATACTACAAATGTTATGTTTCCATTGTAATCAGGAGAAAATGTTTTCCGGACTAGATCTAGGAATTCTCCTGAAAGAATTACATTTTGGAAATTAGAGGTATTTGGGAAATATCATCAAAACAAAGTGTAGAGGAAGAAAATATTAAATAGCACTTGATGTCTTAAACTAAGCCAGACACAAGAAACAATCTTTCTTTCTTATTACTGTACTTATCATTGTGATCATTTAACTTATGTGTATGTCCCACACTAAAATGTCTCACTAGAAGCACAGACTAATGCTAGCTTCATCTAGCACTGCCAAATGTGCTTGTTTTTCATCTCAAGCACGATTAGTATCCTGAACTGAGTAACAGCCAAAAGGCTTTGAATTAGGGAAGTGTCTCACAGGAGATCCATGAAAGCAGCTCATCTGAGAAGAAAATATTGACACTGCTGAGAGTCAAAGGAGACATATAATGTTTGGATTAATTCTCTATGGCACCCCCTAAAAGGAGCAGGAAAAGCAGCAGCAGCAGCACCACCACAGCAGGGTAACTGGAAACTGAGACCCGGTTAGTTGGCCATGAAGAGTGTTCCAGCACAGAAGAGCTGAGAGTGCATCAGCTGAGAAGCCCAGACGATTAGGAGGTGATCGTTTGTGACAGGCACCCAACCAGCCCTAGGAGCCTGTTCAAGTCCAGCTTTTCCAACTGATATAAACAGAATGCCAGTTTCAATGCCCCTGTCCACAAGGTCAAGAGATAGTATCAGAGAAAAGCCAATAATGTTCCCTCAAAAAATACCAGAAAATCTCCCATGAGCCATAAAAAACTCAACTGAGAGGAAAGGCATTGGTGAGGGAGGAGATGAGGATCCTGCTTTTGCTATTTGGTCAAGGTAGTTCGTATGAGGGAGCCAGGGAGAGGACCTTAGCTTGGTGTTGTCCATAATCACCTGCCTGTCAAGAAGGGGGCAATACTGTGCTTATTTAGGACCCAGTCCCTGGAAAAGGAGTACACACTAATATTACTTGGCAATATAAGCTTACAGAAAGCAAATATTAGCACATGAATATTTAAATGTTGAACTGTAACTCAGGCCCCCATACGGCGTTAGGTGTATACCCAGGTGGCTCTTTAAGCATTGGTAAAAGGTGCTTTGCTGAACCATACTTGAAATTTAGAAAGCAGATCCATTGTTGGCATCAGCACTGGGGGTTCCATCAGAGTCTCTGTGATGGCTAAACCCTGAACTGGGACCACTGGATTAACAGAGAAACTCCAACTGTAGGACCTATCAAAGCATTCATCCTTGTGCTAAGATCTTCAATGTCTTGCTACTCATTCTCAGATTTTTATGTCGCATCCATTTTCCAGTTCTAGTGGACAGTTGCCAGCTCTGTTACCATATTGTACTTTTGCATGCTTCAAAGGCCGAAGTTTTCCTTAACACAGAGT